TATCTACGATGCTCAATTTAGCGTTGGTAAATGCAGCTCGGTCGCTTAAGCCGATCTCTAAGGTTCTTTAATTTGCGCGATCGTGCTAAGAGAGGAATATTTACGCGGGCCGAGCGTTCTTTGGCTTCCAACGTCGATAATTCCTAAGAAAAATTGTACCTACGTACCGTGGAACAGTGTGTCAATTTGTATCACCGAATTCGTCGGTGTTTGATGAGAAAGAAACAAGAGAGGTGAATAGGCGAGTAGCGACGGTTGGAAGACTATAGTTGTTTCCTCGGCATTACATAAAAGTAGCTATATCCACGGAAGCGTTCCAGTTTTCAACGAATCGCGGATTTTCCAGCCGTTTTTTATCGCTTCTCTTTCATTCCTTTTTTTCTCTCCTTCGTTCGCTTGATCCCGATCCAAACGGGCCGACACTGATGCCGTAAATTGAATCTCAAGCACAAGGAGCAAATTAAATCTCGGAACGGAGGCTACATACCTTTCTACTTTATTATTACAGCGAGAAGTCGGCCACGCACCGTACAAGACTATGGTACCACCGACAATACGGCTATAGTCTGTCGAGCACACGGCTGTTGTTCCACTTCGCGGCCGTATGTATTATTAATCCGGGGAACGTTTAAATAGTCATCTGTCGCTCACGCGGTTAAACGTGCCGGGGAATGGTTACTCGAGTCACTTTCTTTGGAAAAGGGGATGTTGAACGGGGGCCATTTTTTGGCTTCCTCTGGAGACGAAAAGTTCGAGCGGAAATGTGGCGGGAAAATTGAAAAAAATAATAAGTGGAAATATGAAAAAGTGACGATGATCGTTTCTTCTTTTTCATCTTATTCAGATATCGATGCATCTCGAAAATAATTCTTGAGAAAAGTTGAACGGTGGCCATTTTTTGGCTTCCACTGGAGACGAAAAGTTCGAGCGGAAATGTGGCGGGAAAATTAAAAAAATAGTAGGTGGAAATATAAAAACGTGGGTGTGGTTATTTCTGCGTCGTTATCTTCTTCAGATATCGATGCATCTCGAAAATAATTCTTGAGAAAAGTTGAACGGTGGCCATTTTTCGGTTTCCACTGGAGACGAAGAATTCGAGCGGAAATGTGGCGGGGAAGTTGAAAAATAAATGGAAGTATGAAAAAGTGGCAGAGATCACTTCTGCGTCTTTATTTTCTTCAGATATCGATCCATCTCGAAAACAATTGTTGAAGAAATCTGAATTAAACAAAGATGGCAATCTCCGATTAAATTTTCTCAAAACTCATTTCGGAGATGGATCAATAAAAATGAAGATGATCACTATTTTTTACAACTGTAAAACTTCAGAGCAACTCTTAAATGTCCTCCGGGAATTTTTCGTTCCTACACAGAGTCAAAAAGGGTCATTTTTTAACGTCCTTTCTGAACTAATATTTCGACAGACGAGGGGATGAAGAAAAGTTCACGTCGAGTTGGGTTTACTCTGGTCGGAAGGTTTCCTGTTTTTTCAAAGCGTTACACCGACCGAACTTCCTCGAATTCCACCCCGGAAAAGCTGTGTAACGTCGAACGTCGTTAAAATCACAGGCGGAAACGCGTGGGTCTAAGTTGAAAAACTTCGCTAATGGCTGGTTGATATTTATCGATCGGCGCATCGGCCTCTCGAGTATCGAACACTCTGAACGACTGAGAACGGTTGATCGATAGCGCGATTCCAGACTTTTCATCGCGAACCAACGTCGTCCTATTCTCGTCGCAAGCGTGTGTATGCGAGAGTGCACAGATAAAAGGGTTAGAGGGTGTGGTTGCACTCGACGTACGACACGCGATATTTAATCCTGACCAAGCGTGTCAAGTTGTGCGAAAAAAACTTGTCCGCAATTTGTATCGCGAAAGAGGGTCCTCGATTCCATGGAAATCCCTGCTGAATTTTCCATCGGAAAAATAGACACGTTATTCGCTCGTTTCGTATTAGACACACACGCGTGTGTGCGTGTGCGCGTAAACGGCTCGATTTTGTGGGAAAATTCGTAACGAGCCCGGAGTCCATCGATTGAAAAACTTTTCCACGAGCGTGAATGACCGGCAACGGAAAGTGTTCATCGTCGATGGAAGGAGAGAGGGTTGAGGCTGGTGTAAAATCTGCAATTCGTACGCGACATTTTGTCACGCGTACGTCGACACTTCTGTCGCCGTAACGTTTCCAACCCTCCTCCCACGATCAGCCCACCCACCATTCAACAACAGCCGAGTGTATATGTATATACGCTCGGTGACACTTTTCACGCGTAAATTCACGCTGGTTTCTCGTGTAAAAAATCATCCACCTTGAACACACACACGTGCACGTATTTGATATTTAAAAACAACGCATGCAACGTTTCGTGGCAGCGAACGATTGAACATGTGCGACCTTCTCGGAGCAACGAACGAAAGAAAGAAAGAAAAGAGACGAGGGAAGGGTGATTTTTCTTTTTTTTTTTTTTTTTCTATGAGGATTACTTTCAATTAACGTTTCACACACGGGATATATCGCTGTGGACTGTGAGAGAAAAATCTTATATCTTATATCTGGTGAATTATTGCTTTCTTTTGTTTCGTTTAATTTTTCTTCCTTAACACTGGTACAAAATGTCGGGTGCAAAAATCGAGTGAGATATGTATTGTACAAAAATAGTTGTATCTGTATGTATGCAGGTTGTGTGAAAAATCGTGCACAGAGAGAGAGAGAGAAAAACGATGTTTTTCCATTCTTTTTTTTTTTAAGAGACTGTAATTTGGTGAAAAATTATGGAAAAAATTGTTGGAGAAATTGCGTTTAGAAAATACACGATATCCTCGAATCGAATCACGAGTACGTGCACCGGGCGCTCCTACAATTTGAAAATTTATCTTCCTCTGGGAGCGTTTCCAGGCATGGATCCGTGCACGATTTTCGCCACACCCTGCGGAAGGCTTTAAACTAACACTTTAACGTGTGTACAGTGTCTATAGTCTATCCTCTCGGATTCATCGATTGAACAAGTCGAATTATAGTCACAGATTTACTCATTAGTACTGTGCCAACAAGGTTACGCGAACCGACGAATTTTCAAATTTTCGAAAATTTGAAAATTTCCAAGTTTTTCTGAGCACACGATTTAGGGGATTAGAATATTAAGTATACGCGCATCCTCAAATTTCCGAAAATTTGAACGTTTCAAATTTTTCTGAGCACACGAATTTGGGATTTAGAATATTAAGTGTAGCGAACCCTCAAATTTTCGAAAATTTGGACCTTTCAAAATTTCTGAGCAGACAAACTAGGGGGTTAAAACACTAAGTGTACACGATACCCTCAAATTTTCGAAAATTTGGACCTTTCAAAATTTCTGAGCACACGAATTGGGGTGTTAAAACACTAAGTGTACACGATACCCTCAAATTTTCGAAAATTTGGACCTTTCAAAATTTCTGAGCACACGAATTGGGGTGTTAAAATATTAGGTGTACGTGAACCCTCAAATTTGCAAAAATTCGAAATATTAAGTGTACGCGAACCCTCAAATTTCCGAAAATTCGAACGTCTCAAATTTTTCTAAGCACACGAATTAGGGGATTAGAATATTAAGTGTAGCGAACCCTCAAATTTTCGAAAATTTGGACCTTTCAAAATTTCTGAGCACACGAATTGGGGTGTTAAAATATTAGGTGTACGTGAACCCTCAAATCTCCGAAAATTTGAACGTTTCAAAATTTTTCTGAGCACACGAATTGGGGTGTTAAAATATTAGGTGTACGTGAACCCTCAAATTTCCGAAAATTTGAACGCTTCGAAATTTTCTCAGCACACAAATTTGGGGATTAAAATATTAAACGCACCTGAACCCTCAAGTCTCCGAAAATTTGAACGTTTCAAAATTTTTCTAAGCATACGAATTGGGGTGTTAAAATATTAAGTGTACGTGAACCCTCAAATTTCCGAAAATTTGAACGCTTCAAAATTTTCCAAGCACACAAATAGGGGATTAGAACACTAAATGTACGCGAACCCTCAAATCTCCGAAAATTTGAACGCTTCAAAATTTTCCAAGCACAAAAATTTGGGGATTAAAATATTAAACGTACGCGAACCCTCAAATTTCCGAAAATTTGAACGCTTCAAAATTTTCCAAGCAAACAAATTTGGGGATTAAAATATTAAACGTACGCGAACCCTCAAATTTCCGAAAATTCGAACGTCTCAAACTTTTCTGAGCTCACGAATTAGGGGATTAGAACATCAAGCGTACCCGAACGGTGCAATTCGAAAATTTCCAATTGTTCCCGAGCACACGAATCAGAGGTTTAGAATCTTTAAGATTTCGATAGCGATTTCCTTCGTATCCTCGCACGTTTCTGAAACGCAAGGCAATTTCTTTCGGGTGTACACATCGAACAAAACATTCCAGGTATTCGCAGGCCGCGAGAAACGGAGAAGAGGAAGGGTTTCGCGTCGTCTCCTCTCCGGTCCACGCTGATAATTGAGTAGTGCGTGAAAGCTTTATCGGTATCCAAGGTGCAAGGCTCTTCATTCCATTCCATTCCATTGCATCACATTCCAAGCTTCGATCGAAAGCATCGGGGAGAGCGATGAGACCCAATACTTCTGCTCTTTTATTATTATTATTATTACATTTTTTTTTTTATATTTTTCGTGTCAATCGTGTGTCTATGCGATATCTGTCGTGGGTACTTGTACTTGGTGCACGCTTTAGCGCGTGCTGCGTCGTTTCGATTATGTTATATTTTATGTATATTGTTTTTTTTTTTTTTTTTTCATT